CAATTTTCAAGTTTTCCAAAAAGTCCACGAAATAGAGTTGATATTTTTCTCTCTATACAAGCAATATTGGCATTACAATTTAAAAAAAAAGTCCAAAATCATTCCTAACCAGGGCTGGAAATGCACTAGTTTCATTTTCCCTTGTTAGAAATTGCTGACCAGTGTTGATGACCATCTACAGAAACAGTGTCCACCTTCTCCTAAAATGACAGGGCCTCATCTACTAAATGAATCCTCAATCTTTTCATCCTGAGTTCTATAGACTGCAGTCGAAAATGAACTTCAGACCTAAAAGATTGGGCTGTTTATCCTGACAGTCTTCATTACACTTGGACTCACCTCATGTGTGAATAAAGTCAAAAATGAAAAAACTACATATACAGATATACTGTATATATATTCCCACATATTTAGTCATATTTATATTTTGAGTCAAACTGAACTGCAAATGCAAGCAAATCAAATGCAAACAAATCAAACTAAATTTAAATCAATAAAATGTTTTTTTTAAATCTCCTTTTTTGTTTACAATTTCCCTTTGATCAGTTTGAAAAAAAACTTCAGAAGAAAGCTAATTTATCAACAGATTCATAAAGGTCCTGTTTCCAGTCGTTTTCATCTCCCAGGCATCACAGTCTGCAAATGTGTGGGCCATCAACATCTCGTGATATTAAGAAATTAAAACAGGTTATGTTTTATTAAATAAACCGGCACACCAGTCAGGCCCCTGCACCCCCAGACAGACACACCAGTCAGGCCCTGCGCCCCGGGACAGACACACCAGTCAGGCCCTGCGCCCCCAGACAGACACAATAGTCAGGCCCTGCGCCCCAAGACAGACACACCAGTCAGGCCCTGCGCCCCCAGACAGACACACCAGTCAGGCCCTGCGCCCTGGGACAGACACACCAGTCAGGCCCTGCGCCCCCAGACAGACGCACCAGTCAGGCCCTGCACCCCCAGACAGACGCACCAGTCAGGCCCTGCACCCCCAGACAGACGCACCAGTCAGGCCCTGCGCCCCGGGACAGACACAGCAGTCAAAGAACGGTTCTGTCTAAGGGAGAATTGGCGCTGGCGCCCGTCCGCGGTCCTGCCTGTACCCCAGTGTGCTGCGGGGGCTCACCGTGTCCCTCAGAGGCCCGGTCTCCTCTGGCAGTCGGGATCAGGCTGCAGCCCTGCTGGCAGAAGAGAGGCCAACTGGGAGCTGGGCAAGGTGAGGGAGTGGTCTCCACAGCCAGACGGCCACAGGCTGGACACAGCGACACGCCTCCCTTCTGTCACAGGGAGAGAGCGATCCCATCAGGGGGAGACGGGGAAGGACTGGAACCCTCGTTCTCGGCTGTCTTTACCGGCCTGCCGAGCCCCTCGCGACGCTGCAGGTGCTGAGCCCTGCCGGAGAATTTATCACGTCTCTGTGAAAGCGCGTCACGTGTGACTGGAATGACGCCCCCTCTCTCGGAGACCTTCAGAGAAGCAGGACCCTACTGCTCTGCACATATTTATTTCTGCCACATTCAGCCTAGCAGTTGCTACGTGCAGAGAAGAAAGCCTCTTTTGTTTTTCAAGAGAGACAAAGCCTTTTTCCCCCCTGCAAAGTCAGGTCCCATATTTGCTGATAACAATCTGCATCTCTCCAGTGAAAAAACAACCCCAAAACTGAATGAATAATCCTGCCTATTTTCCTTTTACCAGCATTTGAAACAGCACATGAAACCTACACAAACGTCCAGCCATCACAGACAGCAGGAGCAGAGCTCGGCCAGCGGGGGGCGCAGGGGCGGGCCGGACCAGTCTCACCTGCCTGAGGCACGCGGCTGCCCCCCCACCCCCAGGGTCCCACAGCTGCCCCTCCAACAAGTGGCGGTGGGATGACTCCCTCGGCAGGGCTGTCTGTGCAGGACTGGGGGTCATATAGAGGGCAGGGAGCAGGGAGCAGGGAGCGCAATGTCACACCAGGGATAAGGACTGCTCAGGGCCTCCTGACTCAATTCACTGTAGGTGCGTGGTCAGCAGCCAGGGATGTAGCAGGGTCAGGATACGCAGGGGAGACAGCCCACAGAACCAACTGAGCTTAGAGTAGATTTTCACAGGCAGAATTTGCAGAGCAGCGGGTCAGTATATATCTTTGAAGTTATAGAGGGTTGCTAGAGACCTTTTATTGGTAGGTAGGCACCATGAAACAGCCAAAAATAAGCAACAGCCTTTCATGTGTGAATAAAGTCAAAAATGAAAAACCTACATATGCAGATATGCTGTTTATATATTCCCACATATTTAGTCATATTTATAATATTGAGTCAAACTGAACTGCAAATGCAAGCAAATCAAATGCAAACAAATCAAACTAAATTTAAATCAATAAAATGTTTTTTTTTAAAACATTTACAGCAATTATGTTTTCTTCACGTTTCCATTATCTCAAGATTTTAACTATGTAAAATGTGTGGGGTACTCTGGTACTTTTTCCCTTTTCTTCAGTACCCTAGAAAGCATTGTGCTTAACCACAGCGCCCCAGCTGTTTCACTGCAGCATGCTGTACTGCACTGGCACCAGGGGGCAGCGCCGCCAGGTACTGTAGTAGGCCTGCAGTGAGTTCCAAGTGCAGACTCTCTTCTGGGGAATGTGGGGGAGAGAGTGGATACATTTGTAAGTTATCAGGAAGCGTGGACCTCTGAAAGCATGAAATCTATTTTCTTAAAGCCAGTACAGACCTCCTGCAAGGTGACTGTAAGACGGTGACTTTCATGCACTTTCTAGATGTACATGCTTGACGATCTCGTTTCTAAGTAACATGCACAAAGCAATCAACTAAGCGACTGACAGTCTTAACTACAGGCTTGCAGTTTAATTAAAAGCTACAGCAAAAAATGAGCCTGTTAGAAAAACTAACCAGTTCCAGATGTTAGGTTGAAGCCCTATAAGTGGGAACATACAGTATAGGTCAACAATTAAAAGATATTGGTCTCACTCACTCGCTATTAGAGCTTGTTTCTTCCATACTGGACCACAAGTTCAAACAGCAGGTGTGTCCCTGTCTGCGGCGAGGCTGAAAGGTGCAGGCAGGAGTTATTCCTACTTCACCCCAGGGCTGCTCACAGCTACAGTGTGTGGGGCCCTGTGAGCGGCCCGATGAGAGCCGCAGGGGGTGAGTTCAGCGCGCGCCTGCACAGCCCCTCACGCGCAGTGATGAAATGCTACCAGACGGCCCAGGAATTTCACCTTCCAGCATGAGAAACTCACCGCAGGGGCACCTTCCTTTGGGCCTGAAGTCCTTGTGAGGTAGCATTTACACCTATGGGCCTGAAATCACTACCCGAGGGCCCGCAGTACGCCGGCCCAGAGACCTGCCTCCATCGTGGACCTGGCTGCTGTCTCCTGAGCCCGTCTCCCCGGCCCAGAGCAAGTGAACTGCCCCTCCAGCACGAGGGGTACAGAAAGACAAAAGGGGCAGAAATCAGGCAGTTTCTCTAGTTTTTTTTTTAGCTTTTATTCCCATGAAATAAATTAAAAAGTACCAAAAAAAAGATACACAAAAGAATTTAAAAACAACAGGTGTGCAAGTGAATTCTTAAACATTATGTACCATAATGACAATACAGATACCTAGAGAATCAAATATTTGAAGGGTAAAATAGTGCCCTCGGCAGCTGCTAAAAATAACTTGCGAGGTGAAGATGCCCAGGCTGAGCGGGAGATTTGAGGTTTGGAGCCTGAGGGCACTAACCCGGCACACTACAGCAAGGCCACTGCATTGCAGCAGCGAACTGCAACGTCACGAGCACGAGGGGCAGGAGCGCTCGTTAGGAGTCTGTCTGCCCGCACAGCTGCGCGACACCAGCGGGTGTGCTCCCAGCAGAGCACATCACACCAGTCGTGGGCTCGACAGGTGTACTGTCAACAAACAGCAAGCAGGGTGCAACATGACTGGCTGGCGGTAATGGCACTGGCCTCCTTAGGCTCTTGCGACACACACACACACGGGAGGACTCTCGCAGGCTGGACCAGAGAGAAAACGATGACGTCACTAACACGCGGGACACCGCCATCACGCAGACCTGCGGAAGGACATAGCACTGTCCGAAGGATGAGTGATGCGCCAGGGGAGGTAGTGTTGGAGCCAGACGGGACAGGGAACAAAATGCAACCTGGCACTCGAAATAACAGATTTCGATATGAACTATATAAAGGTATAGATTTTCACAGCATGCTGAAAACATTTAGTTTGCCAGGTGCCTGCCTCTCCCAGCCTTGTTCATGAGAGACTGGCATGACCCACCTCATGACCCCACTTAGGACTGTGGGCGATGATGGGAGAAGAATGGTCATATTGTCTCAAAGCTCACGACTGGCTCGTTTTGGTCTCCGACAAGAGTTCAGCTGAACACAGTACGTCTCGCAACAGCTCAAGAGAAATACTTCCACACAGCACACTGCAAGCCAGAGCCTTTGCAGAAACAGTTTAACTGCATTTCAGGGCAGAGTTTTTAAGAGAAGAAAACAAACTGTACATACAGGACATCATTGTGACACTTGGAAAGCAATTCTCAACCTTAACATTTACACCCCCAACCCCAAACGTACACGCAATACATTTCAGTGCATGTTGAGCTTCTAGTACGGGACCGACACTGGAGTGTTTCTGCACGACGGCCTCAGTCAGGAAACTGCCTGTTAGCGGCCCTGTTAATCATTCCCAGACCGCAGTCTAATCTCGAGCTTTACTGAAATGGGTTTCTAAAACAATCTAGGTATTTCCATCTTGGCATTAGACATTCACATAGGTATAGTCTTGCAGATTTTTGTAAATTAATTGAAAGTGATGTAATACAGTCAGTGATAAGAACATTACTGTATTTCACATTAAAACCCACATTCAGCAGTCAGAGGCCGATCACTGCTGAAACTGCCGAGAGCTTCCTAGATCCCAGACAGCCTGGCTCAGGGTGAATTTCACCCAGGCCCTCTCGTGCTCATACACAAGGAGACATAAGCTGTTAACGAAATGTTTTTATCGTACCATCTACACGCCACTCAGTCCCAAAGACATACATATACACAGAAAACATTCTTGCACCACAGAACAGTGTGACAACACAGTCCAACAGCACACTGCAGGACAAGGAAACAGCTGCTCTGGCTGCAGCAGAGATTAAGACGTCGACGCCACGGGGCAGGTCTTCAGCAACCATCTTTCCAGAAAGCTGGAATGGAAATATTCCGAGAAAGACGTGGGCGGGAGGCTTCAGGAATGGTGACGTCGTGAAGAGTGAGGCTGGAGCACAGGGGAGAGTCACAGGACAGCTGCGCTCTCTGCGGAGCAATCGCAATGCGGCCGTCGAGCCAACGCCCCGGCGCTCGGCTTTGCTCTCCCAGAACCTCACTCCCCTCTTCTTGAGCAGCAGTGCGACAGGAACAGCCACCCTCCCCACATCCACAGCAGCACGACACACGAAACAGCTCAGCGAGACCCACGGGACGCGGGAGAGGAGGAGCGGGCCGGGTGGAAACGACGGACTGGGAGGAGCTCCTGGCGGCTCTCGCCCAGACCAGCTCTGTGGTGGGCGGCTTTCAAGGAGTCTCGCTGCACAGGCGCTAGATGATTGTCTCGATTTCTTCTAAGGGCCTCAAGACCAAAGTTTATTCTCCACGTTTGTTTTTTTTTCCAGGAAGGTTTCCTCGCTACTGTCCAAGGCCGGCTCAGCTGGACCACAGGCAGTTCCTTCGAGTTCTTCGAGAAACTCAGTTTTTCTGCACCCCGATACAGATGAGCAGCACGAACCCTCGGTGCAGAAGGCACCAGCTTTAGTGTGATGGCTTTAGTGTAATATTATGGTGTTTTTACTTATGGGCATTTATATACACATTCAGACTCAACAGATCAGGAACCTTTGGCACAAAATGGGCACCCATCCTTCCACACAGAACTGGGAAGATGGATTTAATGCAATCGAGCGGATTTGACTCCAAGGACAGGGGAAGTGTTTGAGGTTTCGAAGTGATGCAAACCACTGCCACAGCTCTGTATAAAGGTGGCAATGCAATGGCATTGATTTAAAACCTTTATAGGCTCCGGTGGCTGTTTAAACTGTGGATGGTCACCTAGCATTGAGAAACAGGCCTCAGGGAGCAGGGAGAGACCAGGAACAGTGGAAGTAATGCTGCCGGAGTGGAACGGATGAGAATCGGGGCGCTACGTCGTCTCCAGGTGCACCACAGCGGTCATGTTGGGACCATACAGGGGTACGTGTGTGGAGAGGGGGACCCAGCCTTCTTCCTGCTCTGCGGTTCCCTGCCCAGTGCCCGGCCCACGACCAGCAGGCCCCAGCGGCAGCCGGCTGGCCTTCGCCCAGCTCCGCTCCACCACGGCGCCGCTGCCGCTGCACGGAGGCTGGGGGTGACCCCCGACCCCAGGCGCCCTCACTCGTCGTCGCCGCCCATGAGAAAGCCCAGGATGAAGTCTATGGCTTTCTGACGGTCCTGCTGCGTCTGCTTGCCTATGAGGTTCGGGGGAGGCCGGATGAGAAGACTGGCAAACAGCGTGGCTGTGCAGGGAAGAGAAACAAAAGAGTCGAGCCTCCACCTCCGATTACTCTTCTACTTAAAACCTCTTCCACTGATGACATAACGGCACCAGCTCAAGGGGAAAAAACATATTTCCGTTCATTTTACTCATATTAGGGACTGCCCGAGACCGTGCCTGGACCACGTATCAAGACACCCTCGCACCACGAGAGCTCAGGCTGATCTGGCTGGCTGAGACTTCACTTTCAGCTTGTCCCCCTGGGCCCATCGGCCAACAGTCTTGGATCACGGGCCTCCGCTAGACACAGCTGATAAGATCTGGCCCCCCAGAACGATTTTTTTTTTTAATTCATGAAAATGAAGACGCTCATTTTTAGAATGTCCAACCCTGAATTCTGGGAAATCTTCAAGAAAACCGCAATATACGTTGCAGAGGAAAATACTCGCTAAATGAGTCTGAAGTTAAGAGTGCAGCGCTCGCAGACCGCCGAGAGGAGACGCTCAGGGCAAGCAGCCGGCCTGCGTGCGCGAGGAGGCAGTGTGGTGGCACTCCGGGGACGACCATACTCACCGATCAGACTGGCAGTGAGGTTGTTGTGCTGCGAGTACTTCAGCAGCTCTCGCAGGAACGCCAGGAGGTACCGGAAAACATTGCGGTGAGCTCGAGGCAGCTGGGAGATCAGCTACAATTGAGCAGAAGAACAGAACAAAAACAAAAAAGTCAGAACAACTTGCCTAAAGCGTTTGATGAGCTAACCCGCAGTATGTGCAGCCTGCAACAAACGTTTTGAAAATCTCCTCCAGGAGATAAGATATCCACTAACAGAAATCCCAGACATGATTAAACCACCTTTGCTGCAAGAGTGCCTGGCAGACACACAGCTTATTTCGCCGACGAGGAGAGAAGAACGTGCCGTGTCGAGCGAAAGGCCCTCTGGGGTTCAGGTGGAGCCCCAGGCGGGACGTCCCGCGCGGGCAGGAACTCACCTGGCGGCAGAAACGGCTGTCGTGGGAGCAGTCCAGGCACCGCTGGTACAGCTCGTAACAGACCACCGGCTCCGGCAGGGCCTCCAGGAAAATGAGCAGGGCCTCGGCCACCGAGTGGTTGCTGCCAGCTGGTTGAGGTCCGTTAGGGAGCTTGACACACAGAGCCCAGAAGAGAAGAACAGCGCTCCGAGCGCTCCTACGAGCAATCCAGCTCAATTAACAACCTCCTGCAGCAAAAACATGCACAGGGCAGAGCAGGCTTGCAAGGCGTTCAACCAGATGGAACCAAACCCCTGTGTTAAAAGATTCTAGTTCTGCTATTTGTGGGTTTTAAGAAACCGTAACGGGATAGACTCTTTAAGGGCGTTTTCCACAAAAGCAATACTACAGCTTCGGAGCTAGAAATGATCATTATCGGGTCTTCCAGGTAAAATCTACAACCCGCTACTTTCTCCGTTTCCTTCCCTTTGCGAGCCCGGGGAGCAGGACAGGACGTTCCCATCGCAGATCCATTTAAAAGGATACGGATGGTGTCGGGAATGCTGGTGTCTAGACAATCAATGATGTTCTGCAGTTCTTCCTGCATCCCAGGCGTCTGGAAGAGATCCTCCTGGAATCGAAACAGCCACAGGAGAGAGTTACTCTATTTGTCAATGCCTGTGCCTCAGTGCCTAACTTGTGCACACCAGCGAGAGCGTGGACGCTACGGCGCTGGGCGGACTGACCTGTTGACAGGCCTTGGTGAACAGATGGTCTACAAGCAGCCACACTTCCTTGGGAATCTTCAGTGGCTTGTCTTCCGTCTCGGCGTTGTCCACGAGGAGGTGGCTGACTCGAGTCCTCTCCTGATTCAATACAAGGACAATTCACCCATTTCAGAGGCGCGTAGCACAAAGGTCTTCTATTTCTATAGCTGAAGTTCTGATATGCCTTATAATTTTTTGCCAAGATGTTGATTTTCTGGTCTTTCCTGGACCAGAAACTGAACAAAACAATAATTTAAAAAAAAAGATCTGCAATTTGGAAAAGCCCAGTTTTCATAGTTTGCTTACTGTACATTTCCAAGCTCTGTACATGGAAACCCAGGGATTCGCCAATGCAGGGAACACAAACAGTCTGTTGTGACAGGGTTACTAAGTCAAAGGAAACTTGAGTAGGAAAGACTGATAAGCTGTCTGACTAACACAGGGGCTGGCTTCAAAGAAGTATTTACTAACATAATATGACCTTGAGGAAGAACATGGCTTTTACTCCCAGATCCTGAGCTCAAAAGTTATTAGAGAACATACCGCAGTTAGCAAAACGCATCCTGAGTGGATAACGAGAGGACCCCACGCCACGCGCTTACAAGAGCTGACAGCGCTGCCAGAGAAGAACTACGCAGCAAGGAGACGCAATTCTTACCAAGAAACCAGAGGGAGGGAGAGGAACAGGCAGAACCGCCCAATGGAACAAGAGAGAGACTCCTTGCTTTTTGGCTAAACTTGTTATTATTAATTAATTAGCAATTCATCTGGCAGGGTTAAACTCTAAATTTAGGTGAATTTGTTTTTTAAAATGGGGTCCAGTGCCATTCAAACTGGGTGTTTAAATTCAAACAACCAACAAAAACTCTATTGAGAGGTTCGGATCTCTCGCACAAGCTGGTCACTGCAGGTGAAGAGCAGTCGACTGGGACCCCCTGCACTGGCAGGGCTGCTGAGCCCGAGAGGCCTGGCGCCTCAGAACACAGGGCTCGTGCCAGCACACACACTGAGGCATCGAGCGTTTACCTTCTCCAGACAGCTATCTTCTCCCTGAGCACCGAGCAGCGCAGACACAGGGAGTGATCGACAGCGATCAAGGGAGGGAGAGGGGAAAACAAGAGAAGAAAAAAATCAAAATCAGATTGATTCGCAGAAAGACAGAAGATCCTCATTCTGAAAACAAAGACTGTGAAGCGCTCTTCATTTAAAAGCGCGCACACACACACACATTAAATGGAGAAGTGCAGCTCTAAATCTGAAGTTCAGGACAGAAAAGACAGCTTTTAAGACGGTAAAAGGACAGCTTTTATTAAACATTCACACTGAAAATCAACTAAGCAGAAACAGAGGAATAAAGATAAGAATCTAAAAACGTGTGGTGGTTATTCAACGCATAGCTGCTTCACACTGAGGCAGACGTCAGCCGCCAACAAGTGCGCTGAGCTAAGAAACCTCAGGGCATGGTAAAGGAAACATTGTGCAACGTCTTACAGAACCTGCACTCCAGGCATAAGGAAGTATGTAGATGTATGTCACCGCCCTGCACAAGACCTGCAGGCAGACAGAACTGACTACCCACTGCAAAAATATCTCTGCAGCTCCATCCCCTTTTCAACAACTTCATTATGCAGCCAGGTCTTCTCCCATTTCTAAGGGCTCACTTCGGCAGAGACACAAAGCAGGGGATGTCTCCCAGGTCCCTCTTCCACTGCGCCGTTAAGGATCCCTCGCAAAGAAGTGCAACAGCTGAAATCAGCAACTACTTTCTAAAAATACCTCAACTTCCTCATCAAAATCACTCGTGCATGCCTCCGCAGTTCAGCTAGCTCGTGCAGAGCCAGGGACTTCTGCACGTCCCTCCCCTGCTGCGGCCGGCAGTTACAGACGGATGGAAAGCCTGATGCACGTAACGCTGAAGAAAAGAAGGGACAAGAGAGCTCCTGGGCTGGGGGAGGCTGGAACAAGCTGTCCAACCGTGTGGTCCCCCGGGATACCCCGGCTTCTTTCAACATGCAACTCCTGGAAGCGAGGTTCTCATGTAGCTCCTGCCAAGCACACAGGCAGAAGGGAGCGAGCCCCCTCTTGTGTGCGACCTCTGTGTTCTCCCCCACAGGGGCAACAAGAGAGCCTGAGTTTAGTTCCTACATTAACCCCTATTTATCACCCAGAGCTATGCAAGTCCTTCACAACAATGCCTCCCCCCTGGACTGCTGGGCGCTGGGCTGCTCACCTCACAACAGCCTTGCCCGCCCGGCACACGTGTGCGTCCGGTCCTCGCCCGCCTCCCAGCTGCAGTGTGCCTACCAACACACGCTCCCAGCTTTCTACTCTTTTGTACCCCGGCCCTCCACATTCACAGGCGGAGCAGGGCCGAGCGCTCTGGGGGCGGCGGGGCTCACCAGGTCGATGAGCTTGGTGATGGGGATCTCTCGGATGGGCTTCCTCATGCGGCACAGCGTCTCCAGCGAGGTGCCGAAGCAGCTGGGCAGGTAGTTGCCCCCGATGGTGATGAAGTAGTCCTTCCCGCGGTCCAGGTGCAGCACCAGGATGTCCTCGATGGTGTCCTCGCCGGAGTTCAGCATGGTCACCGAGTCCTTGCTGACGTACACCTCCAGGAAGATCTCCAGCGTCTCGTCTGCGGAAGCACAGGGGGCCGCGGTTAACCGACAGGCAGAGCGACAGGCGGCTCGGCGAGACCCCGGCAGGGCCCCAGAAAGGTGAGGGGTGCAGCTCCAAGAAAAGCTGCAGTCCCCCCCCGCAGTCAGACCGGTTACTAGATCTTGGTAACAAAATAAATACATCGACAGTATAGAAGCAAGCACGAAATTGCGAACTTTATGAAGGTACCGTAACTCGCCATGTTGTCTCAAACTCCTGGTCTGGCCCACGTGCGAGAACGAGAGATCCCACAGAGTGTGATGTGAAGCGGCCCTTCCTGCTCACTAGTCACCGTAGTGACTAATGTACTGTGATGCACGAGCGAATAAGTACAGGTTGTGCAGCAGACATTTCACCGCAGCAATTTCCAATGTGATCCGCGTGCAGAGTTAACACGTTCCATTTATCAGCAAAACCACAGCCAAGTCAAGAGCACTATTTCTACTGGATGAGAAGAGATGGGCTCACAAGCCTGCTTGTTTACAGTGTCATAGGGCCGCTTCACCTCACCGGGAGTTTTGTTGCCTCGTTCTGAATCACAGAATATGGTCCGTGAAAACCTGGAAATTTCGCCTATTTTGTGAAGTAAATTGGAGGTTTTACAAGTTACTGTGTGCATTTTACTTTTGTTGTAAATTTGTTCGAAATGCACTCATCCATACCGATTCTTTCTAACCCTGAAATATGAAAATAGCGTCGCCGTTCCCCTTTCAGTCCGTGGTTGCAGCTCTGGAATTAATAAACCTCAAACAGAAAGCAGAAACACATCCTCTTGCACCGCGTTTCCATTTTGGTCTTTTTTGAGCTCGGCAGCGAGAGAAAGCACAGGCCGCGGCCGTGGACTCACTGGGCTCCAGGATGCCGTCGCAGGGGTCCGCCCGCAGCCAGGGCTTGCAGTACTGCGTGTCGTTCAGCTTGGGGATGAAGGCGAACTGACAGGGGACCTGGCCGTCGTTGGTGATGAGGAAGGGCTGCTTCTGCAGCTGCCGGAACTTCACGCTCTCGAACACGAACTGCGGAGGAGAGAGCAATGCGGGGCTGAAGGGGGGGCCTCACCGGGCCACCGTGTCCGAGCCGCGCGGGGCGAGGGAATCGACAAACGCTAAAAGCGGCCAACGCAGCCTCCGACTCTCTACACAAGAGGGCTCGGCGCGAGCTCTCCCCGGCACAAAGCGAAAGGCAGAGAAACAGCCGCGCCAGACTCTCGAGAGCGCACGAGCCTCACCTCCCTCCGACTCAGCGATAAGGACGGCAGGAAGTCGTTCTCCATCCTGTCCAGCAAGCGCACGATCTCTTCAAAGACCTTCTTGTGGCGCTGCTCGTTCACCACCTTCACCTGCCGACAGAGAAGCACATGAGTGCCCATCCCTACAAAAAGCTCCTTCCTATATTTCACACCTGGCTTTTCCCGTAATTGAGCAACAAGCAAAACCATAATCCCATTCCCGTCCCGTTCAACATTGAGACAGATCAGCTGCAGCTCTCTCGCACCTCCAACATCTCTCCTGCTTGCCGAGGTCTGATGGTCAGCTGCAGCCGGCAGCAGAGGTACACTGTACAGAAGTGGGCTTTTGCACGTGGACGGTCCACAAACGCAACTCTAATTTTGCTGCCGTTACGTGGAATTTCAGGATTTGTCATGAAACGTGACAGACAAAGCTTCAGGCCCTATGCAGAGTGACCCGGCACAGCATGCACAAACTACCAAAAGAGGACTTAAGGCGATGTGAGCACACCTAAATGGCCTTTGAGCACTGTGAGCATTTTCATCAGCAATAAGGAATTCTAAGATTCTTTAAATACACTGTTTCCCTTTAAATATGTCATCTTCAGTACGCACAAAAAATATCACTTGTGCAGCGTTTTACAACTTTCACACGATCTTGTTCTAGGTCTTCTTCTTGAGCTACAGTGCTTTCCAAGAAGAGAGGCGGGAGGGCAGAGCAGCTCCTACCCCGACGTTGAAGAGCGAGCTGACGGGCTTGTGGTCGCTGGTCTGCAGCTCCATGTGGCTCCGGTACTGGAGCTGCGTCACGCTGCTCCCCCTCCACAGGATCCGGTCACACCAGGCCGGCACGCGGCACTTCCCACTGCGGAACGGAGCAGACCCGGGATCGGGGCGGCGCAGCACGGAGCGACGCGTGTGTGGATGGGGGGGGGGTTCGGGAACAAAAGAGCGGACATTTGGCCCATGAGACTTAAAAAGGGAGGCTTTTCCCATACAAATCAATGGAGGAGTCGGGATTGGGACAATACGTTAAGAGTGCTTCCCTCCCGTATATCCATAAAAATAATGTCGTTAGCTTGAGATATGTTCCCAGCATGCTGTCCAGACAGGTGTATAGACAATTAACATGCCTATAACTCATAAAAACACAAAGACATGCATAGCGTCATCAACTTGTTTCGAATCATAGTCTCCCTGAAACCAACCACGTCATTCGCTGCGTCAGGGAAGATCTTCTCCCCAAACACCGTTAACACACGTTCAGATCAGTGACGCAGCGAGTGGTGGCAAGAGCTCTGCTGGTGTGCTGGAGACACCTCTGCGTGCCTGCGACTCCCCCACCACGCGCCCTGCTTCACGACCGCAGCCCTGCTCCCAGAGAGAGGACTCCTCTTCTCTCTTGAAACCTCTCGCTACCTAGCGGAGAAACCCCCGGGATAAAGCGCTGGCAGCGAGCACAGACACAGACCTGGAGTCCCATCTGTCCGTTTTGGCATCGTATTTGTACGTCGGTATGAATTTGATCTCTCCCTCCAGGAAGTCGGTGAAAGCTCTCTTCGTCTGTCTTTGGATATTGAGCTAAACAAAAGGAAAAGCAGAGAGACCTTCTGACATTCAGGCCCGAAGGATCATCAATCACACAAGCTTTACTCCACTTTCACAAGAGGTCACTTAGGAAGCTTCCTTTGTCAAACAAACATTTATTAGCTTTACTTATAAAGGAACAAAATTGTTTCTGAATCTAAAAAGCATAAAGAACTGGACAGGATACATCTGCCATTAACTAGACTACCAAATAAAACACGTGTGAATTTTCATCAGATAAAAAACAAATTAGTAAGACTCTGAATTTCATTAACACCAAAAATAAGGTCATTCAGACTATATCCGTTATCGAATTTTCAGCGGACTGACAGATTTTCAGTGGTTTCGCAGTGCACAGTGGCTGTGGGCAATACAGAGCATTTGCAAAACTGTGTTTTCTGAATTTGCAGAAGTACAATTGACAGTGTTAATATGCAACAGTCACAGTAACCTAATTAGAGAAGCTGTCTGTGTCCAAAGTCTGCAGAACAAAGAACATACAGGATGTGGACGTGTGGAAGCTCTAACAGTCAACTGGCAAAGCACTAAGAACCGCACACCATACAGACACTCTCAATCACAAACCCAGAACCCAAGAAAGCAACCCTGACCGAACTAGTGAATCCTCCACTGCAGGTCTCCCACCTGGTCGTATTCCTGCAGCTTCTTTAAATCCCTCTGTGCAATTAGTGCTTTAACTTCAGCTGCATCGTACAGAAAGAGCCGGTAGTTGAGGTCGCCCAGCCAGATCACCACGCTGAGGGGAACAACATTAACAAGGGCACGTCACAGATGTTGGGAGTTGCTCAGCGCCATCGCTTGCAGGCCATGCAAAAACGAACTCGCAACAAAAGCGAGTGAGGCAAGGAGTGCGCCTGGCTACAAAGGACAACCCAACAGTTACACAAGAACTCTCTCTGCAAGCAGAGTTTATGCCCTTTGCACAGCTGCAGGTGCTAAATTAAAGCAGCAGATGCACTGAAAGGGAATATTCAGTACAACAGTGCAGAGCAAATGCAACCCTAGTTCTGGAGCGCCGAACGGTGTTCAGCATTTGATTCCATCTGAGCACTGAGAGACTACAACTGGATGAGCCTATTCCTTCATTAGGGGGAGAAAAGAAACTGCAGATGGGTGCTCACTGACCAATTACAGCTTTAAAACCTAGACCCTCCAGGACCAGGGTTACATACACTGCCTCAGTGGTTCCACTACCTACACAAGGATACAGCAATGACAACAAACAAGGGGGGGACCAGGCGGCTCCAAATTGTTAGCTTTTTTAATGTCTCGTTCAACTGGCGCTCCTCATCCAGAGCCCGGCGCAACTCACTCGTGCTTCACGATGCTACACGGCGGGCAGTCCTGGAGGTGAAAGCTCATTCTGGCGCAGATGTCCTTGTAGTCCTGGTTGCGGCGCTCGAAGTCTTCCACGTGGGCCGCCAGGTGCGAGTTCACGATGCAGAAGCTGGTGTTGTGGAACACGAACCTCACCGCCACGCCCCCTTTGTTGCCCTGAAACCCGGAAGCACAGCGGGGCTCATCGTCCCTACCCTCGCAGGAGAGCGCCTAAACTAGCCCAGAATATCAGCATGCAGTTACCATTTCATTGCAGATAGCATGAGCGTCAGGCCTGTGAGGTGATTAACTTCATTACGTAACCTGTAATCCTCCCGGCTCCACCATGCAGAGCAATAAGCACAACAAGGCGATGGATTGAGAAACAGCGGGACACCATACCATTTTCCCCATAATGCCAGTTCCCACAGACTCGACCACCACCTCTCGGATGTGGTTCTTGTGCTCCTTCTTGCTGTAGATCAACAGCATCATTCCCACCAGGCGGATCTGGCGGATCTGGAAAGCAATTGGAGGGGGGAGGGGGGAGGATTTGAACCATGAGCTCTCCCGAGGTATTCTGGGATACTGCCTCCCACAGTGGCAAAGCACACCTAAGAGTCACAGGCCATACCAGGTTATGACTAGGGCCAGCATTTTTATGCCATGAAAAATAATTGACAAAAATCAAATGACTGATGACCTGGACATGAAATGCAATACAAATCAGGTACTAAAACAGAGTATGTTGTTTAAGACTAAAATGTTTGAAACATTTCAAAACACTTAAATAACAGTGCACACAAGGCGTGCCTTTACATCATTACAAAAATCTTGTTAAGTACAAAATACTTGTTGGTTACTGGGTCTGCACTCACTCTTTTGTACTTGGCTTTTGGGTGCAAGCTCCTCTCCACTGAGTCCACCCAGGGCTGTTCTTTGGAAGAGTCTAAATACAAGAAGGCCTCTGTGCTGAGGTCCAGCTCCTGGAAACTGGGAGACAGAGGAGTCACATGAGAGGAGAAGCAGGCCAGCTCCAACAACCCCACCAATCACCACTTCACCAGCCCAGCACGGCCGGACGGCTGGCATTCCGCACGGAGGAACCTTGTGACACGACGCGGTCAGATGAGAGACAGTCAGGCATTCAATAGAATGAGCAAGATAAATTTTGCAAGTGAAATGGCATTACTGGAAAAGTGGAATTATGGTAGTTAAAGCATGTCAACTGATTCGGCGTAGGACAGGTCACGTTCAGAAAGGGTGATCTTTTCCTGGAACATCTCTTTGGTTCAGGATGTTTGTGTTTTTGCTTCCTTTTTTAAAAAACATCAGTTAAAGCAAAATCTGCTTGAAATACTCAGTTCTAAAAAGACTTTGCTCTTGATTTTTATCAAGATTAAATTAATTCTAGGAATCGTATCATAACTAAGCACATAACTCCAAGATTCTTTGAAAACAACCGATACTACATTAAAATCTAAAAGCACATGTGTG